TTGGATAGTTGAGTTACTGGTAGCCTCTATCAGTTCCCAATAATTTTTTACGCCTCTTTAGAGGTGTGGCATATCGAAATACTATGTTTTCACGTTTTTAGGATTGGCGTTTCAGGCTTTGCAGTTAGGGTACCGTTATCTCTTTCTAAAACTGACCAAAAAATGAGGTGTCTACGCCCAGTTGGGGCGTGGCAAATCGGAAAAACCTGTATATTCTACAGTATGAGAGCGAAACTTAACTACTACAAATTGTTGATGGGATGTGAATGAGTATTCTGGCAGTCGGTAACGCCCGGACTGCAAACGTTCTTACTTGTTTTCATATGTGGATGGCAGAGCAAAAAGTGAGACACAATTAGCACACACACACAGTATAAGAGTTAACATGCAAATATAAATATATGTGTATAAATATAAAGATTTAAATAAATTATAATAAAACTAGATATGTTTTTTTCTGTTTTATCTTTTATTTATTTTAATATACGTATATATGGTGCGGAATGTACAAACAGGTATATATATATGTGTATGTATATGCAATGGGAGCCTTGTATGTACGTACATATATTGCAGTGAAATCGCAATTAAATATGTGCAACTCGGACTATATGATTGGATTGAATGTTATGGTTGAGCTGCGACAAGAGACACAAAAGGATATTGTGTATTATGTCATAGCAAAACGGAAAGATTCGGAATATATGAATATGCAACGGACTTGAAAAGGTTAGTGCATACATACATATATGTATGTATGTATGGCTATGGACTTCACGTACCTGAATATATAAGAATATATATAATCAGATTTGTGCTAATATATAAGAATATATATTAGTGGGATGTAACTTGCACAAAGTACAAATATGTATATATACAAATATATATATGGAAATAAATGTATAACAAATGCCGGTATGCAATCGAATCTATGCAAGTTGCAGTGAACGAAAGCAATCAATTACGATTCAGAACTCCCGCTGAATCGCTGGTGGATGTGTTGATGATATCCGGCTCGAAGGACCAAATGTTGGAGTGTGGAGTCTTCAAATAAGGACACGTGGTGGTGATTTTAAAAATTATTTTATTCAGCACGCGCAAACGGCGATGTTGGATATTCAAGTAGTTGCACAAGGTCAGTGAAAAAAAAGGTATTAATAGTGGGGAAGAGGTAGTACGGAGACAAAGTACTGAAAAAAGCAGTTATGCTATTAACAGCAAGCTGTTAATAGCATAATCGAACTCTGTGGGGGAGGAGCAATCCCTGTTAATGGGATCTGGCATTAACAAACAATGATTTCAAAAATATAACCTTAATAACTTAACAAAAAATCAAAAATCCATAACAAAATTCCATTTCATTTCCCTAATCGCTACAAAAATCAAACTATGCCTCAAATCCTACTCAAATCTTATTCACCATAACAAAAAAATCTATTTCATTTCAATATCTTTGCTTATTACCTACAAACATGTTGGGTGGGAAGAAAATGCCACCTTACACCCCCTTACTCCGACAGGAGAAATTACCACGCCCCCGATGAATTAACGGTCACCGGGTATAGGCCTGTTCCCCCGCCGCGACCCGGAAGCGGGTCCTCCCTGTGCCGCCGTCCTCGCGTCTCCCGCCTCCTGCTGGATCACCTCCGCACTCAGCTCGGTACCGGCAGGGAGTGCACACTCCAGCCGATAGGGATTGACGGCAACATTCTCCCTCGACTCCGCGTCCTCCTCGCCGAGTACCTCCTCTCGAGATTTACCTCCCCTCCCGTCCCAGCAACTCGGCCATGTCCTGCCAACAGGCGCCTTTCCTCGCTCGAACGGAGGTCTCCGTCGACTCATCTCGGCGCTCGCTGCGCCCTCGGCCGCTCGTGGACGTAGCTCCTCTCCGGCGCTGCCGATGCGTGGACGGACCTTCGGCACCGTCTGTCGTTTTCCTTCTGACTGGCGGGGGTGCGGGAATCCGATTCGCGTTCGGACACCGGTCGCCCGTCGTCGTCGTCGCCGGCGACGCCTGCGCCTCGGCTGCTTGTCGGCGACCCGTTCGGGGGGCGCTCTGTACTGGACTGAGACGCACGCGATAGACGTCGGTTTTCGACCGTGCCCGGCGTATATCGTAGCGTAATCCTGACGGATTCCGGCTGTCGCTCCTCCTCGGCGTCGACGCTAGCTTCGGCGTCGAGGAATGGGGTTTGTGGTGCCATCCTCCTCGGGCTCGCGTCTTCGACCCGAACTGTTCCATCGCGCCTCCCCGACACGTCCAAGTGTTCCTCTTCCAATCCATCTCGCCGCGGTCTCCGGGGCGGGGTTGTGACGGAGGGACTACGCTCCCTGCCGCCGTCCCGCCCCCGCGACGGGGATCCATCGTCGATCTCTCCGGCCGGGATTTCTTCCTCCTCACTCGCCGTCCATGGTGTCAGAGTCGCCCATCCCGACGAGGCTGTGTCGTCCACACATCTCTGTACATACGACTCCGGGCTGCCCGGTGGGCGGGGAGGAGACGGCGGCTCCTCCACGAGTGGTGGCGTTGTTCCTCCCCTGGGCACCTGGATGTACACTGTTGTGTACCTGGCCTGTATAAACTGTATTAGGCCGTCCATCCGGCTTGCCACGTTCATCGTCGAGGGAGGCCGTGTGCACGCGCCGGGGTGGCGCCCGCTCCTCTTGGCGGCGGTAATATTCTCTACCGAGCCCTCGGGTCCCTTTGTCGCCTCTGCGCCTCTTCCCGGAGAACGACTCGGTGCTGTCGCTGCTGGTGTCCTCGACTTGGACCGAGCCCTCATCATCGCTGCTAATGCCGATGACTTCCTCCATCTATTGACCTCCTGTAAGTTCGGGTTTATTTTAGTCTTCTTTTTTTTTCGTGTTAATGACCGAAACGGCCTCTAACTACTGCGTTAGTGTTAGCATTAATAGGGTCTCTACGGGGAAGTTAGTGGGTTTGCGAGACGTATAGACCTATCAAGGCCTTTCGTCGTTATTGTCGGGGACAGCGGAGTTCGCTCCTCGTTCTTCGTTTCCCGGTCTCGGTTAACGGATCATGTCAATTTCCTCATCTCTTGATGAAATGGCTTCAACTGTGCAATGTTGGCCTTTTTTTTGCCCACCTTAAATGTTTGTAGGTAATAAGTAAAGATATTGAATGAAATAGATTTTTGTTATGGTGAATAGGATTTGAATAGGATTGGA